GCATTGCACATGGAGGGGGGCACGACCTGGGGCACAGGGGCTTTGGCAGCGCCAGGGAAGGGGGTTGCATGGAAGTGGCAGTGCTAGGGGGGTGCCCATGGTGGGGGGCAAAGGCTCTGTGAGGGAGGGGGGAATGTTTCCTAGGGGGGTGGGAGGATGGAGTTTACCCCAGGGGTATTGCCCGTGGAGGGGGTATTGCCCAGGGGGCAGGGGGCATTGCCAGGGTGGGGGGTAATTCCCCCCCGGGGCTGGTCCTGGAGGGGGTGTTTCCTAGGGAGGGGGTACTTCCTTGGGGGGGGTATTTCCCTGGGTAGGGATGTTTCCTTGGGGGGTCCCTGAGGGGAGTGCCCCCCTGTGGGGGGTAACTCGGGGGGTTATTTCCCTTTGGAGGCATCGCGGGGCAGGCGGGCGGGGGTCCCCCGGGCGGGGGTCCCTGACGCCGGTGCCCGCAGCTGAGCGAGGGGCAGGYGGAGGCCGGCGTGTGGCGGGGGGGCGCCCGGCTGGCCCTGCTGCGCCTGCCCCACGCCAAGGTCAACGACGGCGACTGGCACCACGTGCAGCTGGAGCTGCGGGGGGCCCCGGGGCGCCCCCCGCCCGCTGCCCGCCTCCTGCTGGCCCTCGACTACGGCCGCCACCAGGTGCGCGGGGGGCCACATGGGCAGGGGGGGCACGCGGGACCCCCGGCCTGGCGGGCGCTCAGGGCGCCCGCTGTCCCCGCAGGCGGCGGCCGACGTGGCCGGGGAGCTGCAGGGGCTGCGGCTGAGCGCGCTGAGCCTGGGCGGGCTGGCGGGCGACGACGGGCGCGTGCAGCAGGGCTTCCGCGGCTGCCTGCAGGTACCGCGGGCACCGGGTGCGGGCACGGGGTGCGGGCACGGGGGCAGCGGGCAGCAGGTATGGCATGGGCATGGGGACGTGGGCATGGGGACGTGGGAATGGGGGCACCGAGCAGCACATATGGCATGGAAACGGGGACATGGGGACTTGGCAGCAGGTATGGCATGGGCATGGGGACGTGGGCACAGGGACGTGGGAACAGGGGCACCGAGCAGCATATATGGCATGGGCACAGGATATGGGGTCAGGGACAGGGGCACTTGGCAGCACATACAGCATGGGCATGGGGATATGGGCATAGGGACAGGGGCACCTGGCAGCAGGTATGGCATGGGCACAGGATGGGGGATCAGGGACAGGGGCATTGGGCAGCATGTATGGCATGGATATGGACACAGAGACAGGGGCACCATGGGCACAGGGATGTGGGAACATGGGGACACGTGCACAAGTCATGGATGGGCACAGGGGTATGCAGACATAGTCATGGGGTATGGGGTGTGGGGACATGGGGATGTATATGGGGATGGGAAGCATAGGAAGTGGGCACACAGTCAGATGGGTGACAGGACATGGGTGACAGGCTCTTGAGAGCATGGGGGACATAGGCACAGGGCATGGCTGTGAGGATATGGGGACACGGTCACAGGGTATGGGGTGAGGGGGGTGAGGGGACACGTATGGCTGTAAGGCATGGGGACATGGGCGTATGGGTGAGGGGACATGGGCATAGGGGCATGGGGATGTGGGCACAGGGGCAAGAGGCCTTGGGGACATAAACATGGGACATGGGCAGAGGGTTTGGGCCTGGGCACAAGCGACGTGGGCACAGTGCTGCGGGGCCGTGGCTTCGAGCCCGGGGCCGGGGCGCTCGTGGCCGGGGCGC